GCAAATTTGAACAGGGTGCTTTTTACCCCCTCGTCCAAGTCACTGATGAAGATGTTGAACAGTGTGGACCCAAGGACTGAGAGCTGGGGGACCCCACTGCCCACATCCCTCCAGGTCGAAAATGACCCATCCACCACCACTCTCTGGGTGCTGCCTTCCAGCCAGTTAGCGACCCATTTGACTATGTTGATGTCGACACCACAGTCCCCCAGTTTTTCAATAAGAACAGGTGAGAGACAGTGTCGAAGGCTTTCCTAAAGTCGAGAAAGACTACGTCCACTGCTACCCCTGCATCTAAGGATTTTGTGACCTGGTTATAGAAGGCCACCAGGTTGGTCTGACAGGACCTGCCTCTAATGAACCTGTGTTGGTTGCCCCTAAGCACAAGCTCCCCCGCTGGCCCCTTGTGGACATGTGCCAGGATATTTCTCTCAAAAAGCTTCTCCATGATTGAGGTAAGACTAACTGGCCTATAGTTTCCTGGGTCCTCCTTCCTCCCTTTTTTGAAGACGGGAACCACACTGGCCCTTTTCCAGTCCTCTGGCACCACACCAGAGCACCATGAGTGCTTGTAAAGCTGTGCCAGGGGTCCCGCAATGACCTCTGCTAATTCCCTCAGCACTCTGGGGTGGAGACTGTCCGGACCAGCTTATTTAAATACATCCAGTCCCTCCAGAAATTCCCTGACTGGATCCTCACTGACCATTGGCCTAGGTGTGCCTCCTCTGGGGCTTTAATTATGTCAGGGTATTTTTAGGCAGTCTCTCACGCTAATTTTACAAGTGTCAAATAAAACAGTAGCGGACCTGATTTTTCTAGGGCAATACAGAGTCAGAATCATAACTCCATACACAAGTCTGCTCGGAGTAAAACCAATGCAAATCTGGTTGACTAATCTCATTACCGGAATGGAGTAAATCATAACAAATGCCTTAGTTGCATTAAACTTAAATTTATGCCAATGTAAATGAGAAGAGCTAAACTGGTAAGCTGCAGAACAAGACAGTCTGCTTTGATATACGTTCCCTATACCAAGATCAATCTTATTAAAAAAGAACAAATAAACAGACCAATTCCTGGATCTAAGAAAGGTAAGTTCTAGAGAGGAACATGCAGGAGTGAGGGGGCACACCAAGATGACATGCTCCTCCAGGCTGAGTTTGCCAGGAGCCTTAGAACTAACTAATAATTAGCCCCAAAGGAACCACTACACCAGCCAAGGAAGGATCAGGGCAGATCTGCTCATACTCTTTCCTTCGCAGACCCCGTGCTGAAAAGCCAGGCTGGGGATGCACAGCGCTAACAGAACCAAAGGAAATCTCAGCTGCTTAGTTAGGGAAGTTACACAGTCTCTTTGCACTGCTGAAGCATGGGCCAGCATCTGGACCAAGGAATGGATAAACATCTCCCTTATCATAAAAGAAAGCAAACAAGGCACAATTGCATGAAGCCTGCCTTTTGGTGCCATCTGGTGGGAAAAAAAATGAACTATTTCTACTTTAAACCAGGTTTGCATTAACCTTACTCTTCTCACACTCTTTGACTAGAATTATACAGCCATGTCAGACTCCTCATTCAACACTGCATTGAACAACTGCCCAAAAATATATGAACGCGTGTGTGTGTGTGTGTGTGTGTGTGTGTGTGTGTGTGTGTGTGTGTGTGTGTGTGTGTGTGTGTGTGTAATTTCTCTCTCCCCTAGGTTATGCACAACAATTATTATACCTAATAATTTCACGGTTACATTGTTACATTGTACTGCCCATTGGCAGGGGGTCAGACTAGATGATTCACTGAGGTACCTTCCTACCCTAGCATCTATGAATCTATATATAAACATAGGGCAGAGACTCCCTATGCCTGAAGAAGGGTGACTGCACCCGAAAGCTTGCTAAGAACTTTTTTCCAACTACTCAGTTCATCTAATAAAAGATATCATATCTACTCAAAGAACCTTGCCTACCTATAACCTAGGATATGCTTTTTGTTAAAACTCAGTTGCGTAGCATTAGGTACATAATCTCATGGGTGGACGTAGGATACAGACTAACTGGCAAAAGGATCCAAACTATATCATGGGGACACTCATTAGCTAACCTGTTCTGCTAGGATCTTGTATAACACTTACTTAGCTAACCAAACATTTCATATTCTGCCAAGTACCATAAAAGCTTTAAAAAAAAATCCAATATAAAAATATACTCACAATGAAAAGTCATCATCTTAGATTCAAGTAAATAAGGTATTCATATTGGAGTAGCACTCAGAGCAGTGATTCTCAACCAGGGGGTTGTAGCAATCTGGGGTGCCTTGAGAGCCTTTCAGGTACCACAGGATGCCACATAATGTTAACACCAGAGGTGCACCAACATATTGGTGGTATATCAGATCACCACCGATAAAAGGAAAATTAACATTATTAGCAATGAGCTTTTTTTTGGCTGGTGTAGCCGATGTCATCAATAAACGCTGCATGGATGCACACAGCCACAGCCACAGCATGCATGCAGCCAGGAATGCAGCCCAGCAGCCTGGAGAGCAGCATCTGGCCATTAAGTCTGTGGGAAGGAAGGGACAGGGGAAGGGAAGGGGCATGGGGGACAGATCGAGGCCCCCAGTGTTGGAGGGAGCGGGGCAGGGGCAGGTGCTGCTCAGCCAGGGTGGTGAATGTGACCCCAGGAGCAAGCTGGAGCTGTGGACGGCTTGTTTGGTGACACGGGAGGGGGTGCTGGCTCCCAGCCGCTGTGCATACCCCCAGGGGAGGCATGGGGGTCATGTGCCCTCCCAGACTTTCATGTGGGCATAGGGGGGCTGCATGCTGTGGGCTCAGGGCCAGGGACTGCGCTGGCCTCTTCATAGTGGGGGGGACTGGACCGGGACTATGCTCAGGCCGGGTGGTGGCAGTGCTGGGAGGGGCGGCCACGGGGCCACCCCAAAATTCCCACTAGCTCTTCCTCCCAGCACCACCACCACCTGCCCGCCCCCACCCGCCCCAAGCCCAGCCCTGGCCCAGTCCCCTCACTGGGAAGAGCCCAGTGTAGCCCCTAGCCCCAAGCCTGCAGTGGGTGACCTACCCTCACCCCATGCACAAATCCAGGGGGCATACGCCCTCCATGCCTCC